ATTGATAAGTTAAGAGATAGAGTTGGATTGCCATTATACAAGTCAGCAAAATAACGCTGTTAAATTTAATGTCATCCTATGGGAATTTTTTGTTCTAAACATTGTTCACAGGCGCCAGGCTTACTCTTCAAGATACTTAGAGGAGCACAGATGCAATTTCCCAGTTTGCAAATTTTTTCTCTTTCTCTATTGGCGGTAACATTTTTAATAACATTGCTCAGAAATTGACAGTTTATTTGGCAGTCGTCTAGGTCTGAAGAATCGGTATGATCGTCTACATCTCGCTTTGTGAACGTTTTGGGGATGTCATCTTCCTCAGTGTCGTGCCATGCGACAGGTTCCGCATGGGCAGCTATATCTCGTTTGACTTGTGGCCTACTGTGCGTTGAAGCCGCGAGCAGAAAAATAATCATGGCTTTGAAGACAGCACCCTGCGAAAAACCAGTGAAAGATAAAAGATAAGAAAATACTCGAGAAACGTAAATAATTTAAAGAAGATAGAGATATAATTTGAAATGTTACACGTACATATGGTAATGCAAAGAAAGAATTCATTTGTATAAAGAGTGAAATCGAAGGCGATGTGTTCGTCTTTATACTGCGATCATCGTCATGGTTTAGAATTAAGATGATTAGGATGGCTAAGCTGATTCCGGAGATATGCGCGCTCTGATTAGCCAACAATCGACTTGTTTTTAACTGGACGCTAAGGCACAAAAGTCTTGGAGACGCAGTTCCTGTCGTGGATTTTTTTTTTTTTTCGATTCCAGTTTCAATTTAAAATATCTTTCTGAACCGCCTCTTGCAATACAGCTCCGGTTTCGGAGAAAATACTTTTGATGGCCATTTTGAGGTTTTAACTCAAATATACCTTCTGTTCTGCCGTAGTGGTAAACAAAATCTGAAAATATCTTTTCAACGTTATCATGAAATATTTCAGTTCCCTGTCGGCACAAGCTTGTGAAAATACTACTCTGCTCTACGGCCACTTCCATGGCTGTATACATCAAATTAAAGTTACATGCCTCAGACAATACCACCTCAACAATTGTTTGACCATACTTGGAATTAAGAGAGAAAAAATACTGCACAGCTGATCTGAAGCTGCTTTGTTGCGATTTATACAAGGGCAAATAAATTTCAACAAGAACTTTCAATCAGCGGCGATATCTCCGCCACCTGGTGATATCTCGTCTGCGTCGAATGAGATATCGTTGCATAAAAGCTTAGCGAAATATCGCTCCGGCAAATATTAAAGAAATAAAAAACATCAAACTCGATCTTACTTACATCGTCTCTTTACGTCGAGGAGAAAGTCGAAATTAAGAAATGCATCGCCATATCAAATGACGAGAAGGAAACTAAACAGAAATTCTTGGAAATTTCTTCCCTTTACAGCACTTTACTGTAACGTAATTACATCGAAGTAAATTAACCAATTAGATATGCGCATTGCCCAAGTACACATTGCTGTTAGCTCCTGTGTTGGGGGACAATATGACTCTCTTGTTAGTGCCATTAGCTAGGAGAGTGAACAATTTTAGCAGTGTATGTAATGGCAATATAAATAGCCATGGTAATATTGTATATAGCGTCAATACTATGAAGGCGGAGACAAGGAAAAGTGGTTGTGTTTTTAAAAAATTGTCGGCATTGTAAGCAGAGTAAACACCGTAGGTGTAAGTAAAATGAGATAAGTTATGATTTGAGTAACGTTTAGTGTGTTAAACAAAGTTTGAAAAAATAATAATATGAAAAAGATACATCTTTCCCCGACGACGAGATATCGTTTCCGCCAGGCAATAAATCGACCAGGCAACATTACATCGTTTAGTCAATTTTGCTTCAGACCTCTGACTTACATGTCTGTTTCTTACGGGTAAGACTAGTCAAAACAGGAATGGAGCCTGAAACCGCTTCACTCCATGCTAGAAAGTGGACTTTCGCTGTATCATTAAAGAAAAAATTTTTTTAGAACAATCGAGTCACTCTTGTTAAATATTGTGGCTTGCCTCGCTTCTTTTAGCTTTGGTTCGAAACCCCCGGAAGTAGCTGTGCAGCCTTTAGTGTAATTATCTTTTGACTGTGGTGTCGTTTCATTTTGGGAGGGATCGGAGACGAGAGAAGCGATTTGTTTATACTCCTTTAACAAAGAGGGGGATTACTTTGAAATATGGTATTCAACATTATATCTAATAATGCATTTCTCACTAAAAATCCTTGTGGCGATGTATACCACTGAAACGAGATATCGCGATGACGCACCTCTCGGTCTACGATAATTCGCTATAGGGATATATTGTGTGCTCTACGATGTATCGTTGTAGCGATATTTCACTGAAACTAGATATCGCATGAAAGCCCCGATACCTCTTTGATTTATCTCCTTTAAGAAGCAACAGAATTCGCGATATATCAAGGATATATAGGTAATATCTCTGTAGAATAAAGCGCTATGGTCGACGATAAATCGTAGATTTGCATTACTTTTGCACAATACTGTATATACTTTCTGGAATAGTTGATGTAAGAAAAATCTCTGACGATTTAATATTCTTTAAAGCCGACGCCATACTAATGCAGTTCTAACTAACTCTGGAGAAAGCCATGTCCACATAAATAGTGCGATGGCAATGCAGAAGCGGGATATTTACCTCAGGAAATAAATAGTAATCGAATATAACCACGTCTCAAGGTTAAGGACATGGACCGGACGATTACAACCGACAAAATAAAAATGTCTCTTAGATATTTGTTTATTTTTAATCCCTAAAAGTTGTATCTTACATGAAGTATAAGTCATAGCCAAGACTAAAGTCAGGACTAAACACTCGTGTTCTTTCTTCAAAACCAATGTTAAGGCATTTTGGCTGTTATCTTGGATTCCTTACCGAGCATAAGTATTTGCGAAATTGACTTTCATGGTAACCTGTATGCATGACATGTTAAACTCGAGAGCATTGAAGCCTCACGGTTCTTTGTTGAGCTCAGTGCCTCACGAAATTCAGTGAAAATTAAATTAAGTTGTTTCGTTTCAGTTTGACATGTAAACGACTGGCTTCTCCTGTTAGTCGGGGCCATTTTTTCTCATTGTGCCCCTGTGATGGAAGCAAATTTTTCCATTTGTTTCCGTTGTTGCTAAATTGCAGCGTCAGAATTCATTTGTACTATATTTCACGCAAAATTTTACCCATTTGGTCCACGTATGCTAACATCAATTTCTAACGAGAAATTTTGGGGAATTTTCATTCCATTGACAATAATTGAAACGCAAAATTATTATCCAAACATAACGTTGATTTACAAG